TGGCTAGGTCAAGGATCAGGGAAGTAACACACAACAAGTACCGGATGTTTAGACTAACTGTTTATTGGCAATATATCACGTGACGAAGTAAATGCTGGGCTCGCTCCAGTGCGGCCATGATTGGTGGTCAGTCAGGGTCAGACTTCCCCTCAGGTGTACCAACCCTGACTGTTCACAACATCTCCCGTCTCCACTGCCCCTTGCGGTGCAGTTGTTTGGTTCTCATTCATATTGGGGTCTGGTAATCAGGTATGAGAACAAAGTAGGTTGATGAATATATTTATTTTTCATAACGATACCCAAAGTAAACAATTTGTTTTGAACTTCTTGTCCATGTAAGTTTGAGTTAATAGAAACAAAAATGATTCTGGAGCTGGATTAATTCAAAGCTCCTTACTATTCATCATATCCATACTTCATTGGAGGTTTCACACGTCGCCCAGCTCGAGTGGTTCTTCCAGTGAGAGCCGACTGAGAGGGATTCTGATGTGACGTAGCGAGTTGGGGGTCAAGACCAGGTTGGTCTTGTCCAAGTCCATCTTCGTCGTGGTCAAGGGCCTCACCTTCGTTGGGTTCTGTGGGCACAAAAGTTTCAGTATGAGTTTCAGTCATGACAGGATTTTTATTCAGTACACTTTCCATGCATCCTTCTACATCCATAGGTGTATCATGACTGTCAGGCCTAGTTTTGGAAGGTTGGAGGTGAAATGTATTACGACGAAGAATTCGTCCCTCCAAAGTTCGAACTATGTAACTACGAGGAGCAGAGTGCTTCCGCACCACCGTCCCTTTCTCCCACTTTTTCCCCCTTCGAATAGCAACTGGTGAGCCAGGCTGATAGACCTGTGAGCGAACCTTGGCATGTAAGTCATGTTGACGCTTAGTTTGCCCTTGTTTTCGTTTCAATTCAGCATGTACATTAACCACTTTTGGTTCCAGGTTTCTTTGCAACATCGGGACTGCTGTGCGGCATGTTCGACTCATGAGTATTTGAGAAGGACATACATTCATGCCAGACAAGGGAGTATTATTATACTCCAAGAGAGCATCCAGGTAATTGACTTTAGCATCAAAACATTTCTTTAATAGTTGTTTTGCTATATGTACCCCTTTTTCTGCCAGGCCATTACTCCTTGGATACTCCGGTGAACTGGTGATTTTCTGACTCCCAATGTCACGGGCATAGGCATGACATTCCTGTGAATTCAAAGGATTGTTGTCCCCGTAAATAACCTCTGGGATTCCATGGATGGCAAATGTCTGCCGAAGCGCGCTGATCACTGAGGAGCTTGATTTGCTGTTTAGTTTTTTTATGTCTAGCCATTTTGAGAGGTTATCTTCCAAGATCAGGTAATTAGTCATTCCTAGTTCCATTATATCTATACTCACTTTCTGAAAGGGATACTTGGGTACCTCATGAGGTATCAGAGGTTCTTTCCTATTAAGTGGTCTGTGTCGCTCACAGATGCGACATGCCTGAATCATTGTGACTATGTCATTAGTTATTGCTGGCCAGTACAGTGACTGCCTGGCTTTCGCCTTTGCCTTTTCTATCCCTAAATGGGCTTTATGAATTTTCCCTAGGGCCTTGTTGCGTAGGGCAACTGGCACCACTATTCGGTCCCCCAGGATCACTAACCCATCCTCAGGAAAGAGATCATTTCTCAAAGCCCAGTAAGGCTTAGCTCCTTCAACCACTTGGTTCCTGTCTGTGGGCCAACCGTGCTGATAGTATTGTTGTACAGCCCGGAGACCCTCATCCTTACTCGTCTCATTTACATACTCTGTTTTCTCCTCAGGTACCATGGATATGTACTGTACCACCTCGTGGACTACTTCCACCATTTCAGGATCATCCATGACCGGATCTGACAGACATTGTCGTGACAGCAGATCCGCCAGATACAAATATTTGCGTGGTAAGTACTCCACCTGAGGTTGAAATTTGAGCATTTTGAGCCGAAGTTTTTTCAGGCGATTGTTAGTGATGGTAGCCAAAGGCTTTTTGAAAATCGAGACTAGTGGTTGATGATCCGTTTGAAAGGTAACATTTGTGAGACCATAAATGTACTTTTCAAACTTGAGGGCAGCAAAATGAAGGGCTAGCATTTCTTTCTCAATTTGTGCATATTGCTTTTCTGTTTCAGTTAACACTCGGGAATGAAATGCTACAGGCTGTTTACCTTGAAGCAGGCAGCAGCCTAGTCCATATTGGGAAGCATCCGCTTGGACTATGGAAGCTTTCGTACTATCAAAGGTAACTAGCACAGGGGCTGTTCCCACACTCTCCTTCAGGCGTGAAAAGGCCTCAGAGTGTATTGGGAGCCACTGAAACTTGACATATTCTGAGAGGAGCTGATACAATGGAGCAGCAATCTGAGCCATTTGTGGTATAAACGTTCTTAAGTAATTGAACATACCCAAACACCTTTGCAGTTCCTTTTTCTTTGTTGGCTCTAGAATTGCTTCCAAAGCTCGCACCCTCTCTGGATCTACTCGTATTTTGTTCTTGGACGAGAGCTGCCCTAGGAATCGAACTTCTGTTTGACGATACTGTATTTTAGCAGGATTGAATCTAATGTTTTGTTCTTTTGCTCTTTCCAGTACCTTCAACAGTTCCCTGTCATGCTCAGCCAGGTCCTTTCCAGTCACCAGGCAATCATCTATGTAGATGTTTGCTGAGGTTCCTTTGAACACCTGTTCATTATAGAACTGGAAAATCTCTGGAGCACAACTCAATCCAAACGGCATTTTGAGAAACTTGTATAATCCAAAGGGAGTGGAGAAGGCACACATTGAACTTGATTCCTCGTCCAGGGTCGCATGCCAAAAGCCTTCCTTTAAATCCAAGACTGTGAATATGGCTTTATCTTTGACCTTGTGTGCTATCTCGTCTACAGTTGGAATTATATATTTCTGTCTAACAATTGCTTTATTTAATTTCTCAGGGTCAAGGCATATCCTCAGGTCCCCATCCCCTTTCTCCCTTACGACCAGATTGCTAACAAATGTGGGAACTTCGTCTATGATGGGAGCTACAATGCCTCTCTCTACTAGACTTGCTATTTTTACTTTCAATTTCTCAATGAGAGCAAAATGGTAACGTCGGGGAGGACACATTTCGGGCTGTATCGCCGGATCTA